TCCTACATCAGGCCAGTTTTTTTCCGCCGGATTGAGGGTTACAAACCACGTTGGGCTTCCAAATTCTTCAATGTGCGCTTCGAGCTCCATTTTTCTGAATTTAGATATTTGAAAAAATTATTTTTCGATGTTTGCGAAGCTTCCAAACAATCAAAAAAAAAATGAGTGAAAAAAATTGGAAAAAAATTGTCATTTTTCCAAAAAATTTCAACTAACCTTTGAGCCCAATACGGTGTGCTGCCTTTGATGCTTGCAAAAACGCTATTCAACGATGAAGAGTTCCTTTCGTCGTTGAGAAATCCAAGAAGATCCGTTTTGGATATATTTCTGGAGATCCTTGCTTGCGTTCCCATCGAGTTTAACATATCCTGCAAAAAATTTTCGTCAATTTTCATTAAAAGGGATTTTTTTTTTGGGTGTTTTTTCCAAATTTGAAAATAAACAAACCGTCTGCATTCGTTTGGCAAACATGAAGCACACCCAGGGGACGTCGGTTCGGAACTTGTTGTCAGCGTTCCGAATTTTGCTCCGAGTGTACTTCGATAGCTGCAACGGGAGCTTCCGATTGTATCCAAAATGGAATTTGCCGCTGGGGAAAAGATGAGGGAATGCTTCGGCTTCCACGTTCTTCTCGTCGTTTGACATCGGCTGGTAGCGATGAGACTTCAGAAAATAGTTGTCCAAAGCGAATCCTTCAACTGGGGGAGGCTGGACGTCGCGAATCGGCTGGAACTCGATGTCGGCTTGCGTCAGAAGGTAGTCATCGTTTTTTGAAAGCAGCGCTGTTGTGTCTTTCGTCACGACGTCTTTGTCGAAGTGCACTTGGTCGTCACTGAAGGAAAACTGCTCGTCGATTTTGATGTTCTTGTAGAAAGGGCTGTGCTCTTTCAGCCACTTGAGAGCTTTCAAAATTTTAGGCAGACGAGCAATTCTCGAAATTCCGTAGCGAGTGTTGACCAGCAGAAGAAGATTCGAATCCGAAGGCAGTGTCTCGGCAACGTGTTCGAATGTGCGTTCTAGCGGCACAGGGACTACTACCATGACTCCGGTTGTCCCTTTGACCTGTGTCTTCCTTCCTCCTTTATCCAGTAAATTGAAAATCGGTTGAATTGGTCGATTTTTCTGGATCAGGTTGACTTCGACTTGATTGATTCCTTCTAGTTCTTCCGGCGTTTTTTCGACCATCAATCCGTTCATTTCTGCTGCTGCTGGCATCCTTAAACATTTTTTTAGTTTTTTTTTTCACAAAAAGTTTATTTATTTTATTTAGGAAATTCTATTTTTCAAGAAACGGCTTATTTCCCAAGACAAAGACATATTAATTAATTTATTATCTAGGCTTTTGAAAGGATTTTTAATCGATTGTTTTCTTGGGAAACAAATGGAAACTGATAAAAATCGAGCTTACTTCTTTTCGGAAACTCTCTCGTGCACATTCTACAGACGTCAAGGTCTTCTTTTCTTTGAAAATCATCTTCTGCCGTTCCGAGAGAAAGTTTGTCACAGCTTCTTTTTCCTCTGAAATTTTCAGATAAATATTGAGAAATAAATTTATTTCAAACTTTGAACATGTCTTTGTTGGCCGACAGCTGGTTGCAAATGTCGCAAATGGCAATCTCGAATTTCCATGGCTTTCTCAAATTCTCGAGAATTTGACCATATTTTCTACGTGTTTCGGCTTCATAGTGTCGGCTTTGATCCGTCGGAATATTGAAAGTCCGACAAAACTCCACACGCACAAAGACGGTAGCTCGAGCGAAAGAGCGTCTTCCATTTTCTATAATTTTTATTTGTCAAAGTTATACTTGTCAAAAATTTTTTAAGAAAAATAGAACAAACCTCAATATTCCCATTCTCAAGGCCAAGTTCGGCTTTCTCGGCGACAACGTTAAAACCTCCAGAAGGACCAATCGTTTCTGGATGAGCGCAGCCCAGCAAAGCAATCTTGATGTTTGTAGATGAAAGCAAGCACGATGCCATCAGCTGTTAAGCGTTCGAAGCTTGCTTTGTCGGTGGTTGCGCTTTGCTGTACACAGAAGACGTTGGTAAACGTCAGCAGCAAACCTGAAAATTACAATGAGTTGAACTAGAGAAAGAAAGAGAGAATCAAAAATCGAGGGTAAAAATATAATTGAAAAACCAACTTCGTGTCAGGAGCCACGCAGTCGTCTCCACAGCGTCTGATATGAGTTGTCCTTTTCAAGATTCCCAACGCTTCCATGTTCAACTGGATTTCCGGATGCATTTCGGCAACAGCTTTCTCAGTAACCTTAATTTTCATACTTTCAGCATTTTTGAAAATTTTATCTCACCACAGTTTCAGCTTCATCATCGCTTTTTCTTCGTCAACCTCTTCTCTTTCCATCAGAACCAATTGGTCTGGTTCGTCTTCTCGCAAGTTGTCGACGTTGATTTCTTTTCAGCTGAAAATTACCATCAAATTAACGAATAGAAAAATAGGGGTGTTCAAGAATTTTAAAATTTACAGAGTGAGTTTATTGGCGAGCCGACGTCTTCCGGTTGTGTTCCAGTAACGACCACTGAAAAAAGCGAATAAAATTGCACTTTTAAAAATTTTTTGAGAAAAAAGAAATCAAAAACGTCAGAAAAAATCATACCTTTTCCGACAAACTCAGCCCACAGTTGAGGATAAAGCTTGTTCATCTTGCAAAAGCCATCGTATGGTTGAGTCTCGTCCCAAACATGGTAGTTCATCCTCAGCAAAGTTCGAGCTTCAGTTTCCGACGCCGAACAAGCTTTTGGGCATATGACTTTCTGCTCCAAAATGGCTTTGATGTTGCCTTTCAAGTTATTGACCGTCGTTTCAATTGTTGATCGCAAATGGACGGCTCTGAAAGATTCGAATTAAGTTAAATATTGAAAAATAAATAAAATTAAAACCTCATAACGCTCAAAAGGCACTCGAAAAACAAGGTCAGGTCAGGAAGTTCGAACTTGTAGTTGCTGAGTTGGTTCCTGACGTATCGAGAGATTCTTTCTTCCAAGCTTTCCAAGAGGGCTTCCGAATTCCCAATTTCGATCAGTTGGACGACATCTTTCTTGCAATCCTCCTTCATTGCACTTTTTAAGAGAGAACATCTGGCCGTTTTTGAGTTTAGTATCTTTGCAGCTTTATCACGTTCTTCTTCCAGTTCCTTCTCTTTTTTATCGTTGGTCTTTCTTTTCCGACTAGGTGTTTCCTGAGAGTCGTCTTTGCCAAAATATTTTGGAAATTTTCGTTCTTCTTCTGGTGTTTTTGGTGTTCGGCTGAGTGGACTATTCGTTGGCTTTGAGACAGTATGAGTTGGCTTCGGTTTTTTGGTGAACATGCCTTTTACCTAAAAACACAAATATTTTTCAAAGATGATATTAAATATACTGACAGTTTTGAGCAGGCTTTTTGGAGTTGGTGGAACTGATTCGATGCTCGAATTAGAAGTTTGGGAGTCATTGCCGAAAACCATACTTCTAAAATAAATAAATATTTTGTCATTTTTCTTTAGAAACTCCTTGATTTTCCGAGCATGCTTCTCAGAGGGTGTTGACCAAGTTTCAACAAATGAAGCTACTTCCAAACTGGGACAGAAAGTCGTTTTGACAGCAAAAGCTTTCTTTTCGACTATTTCTCGGAATGAGCGAGCCGATTGAACACTAGAACAGTCCAGCTCGGAAACTTGATTTGTATGGGACAAACAAGTTTGGAGCACTGAGTTCGACATCATTGTCAGATAGACTGTCTCGATGCACTGAAAAAATATTCAACAAGCTTTATAATTGAATATTGTAATCTTACTGTTCCAGGATGGGTTTCAAAAAAGCCACAAATCGACTGTATCGCAACAGCCGTCCCGATTTCTTGAGGCCAATGATAGATACCAATGCCAAGAATCGGAAATGTGACAGTTTTGGACGATGAAAGTTCAGCTTGTTCCAGTGCATTGTAGTAGCACAATCGAAGTTCACATTCTTGGGTTCTGGTAGGAGAATGACCGGCTTGAATCTGTGGAGCAGCAACATGAAGCACCACTGAAAAAAAAAATCAAAAAATCATATGTCAGTATTATTTCAAAAACTGACCGCCAGCAAGAGCATGCGAGAAAGCCTCTGTTACTACAACTTGTGCAGATTTGAGCTTTTTGTTCGGCAACACTTTAGCAATCTCATTTTTTGCTTTTTGCAGCTGCGGGCCACAATGTTGAGACATGAGGCCGTCGACTCCACCTCCTGAAAAAAGCGAAATGAGCTTTTAAGATGGGAATATGGAAAAAAAAATACCTGCTTCCAACTTTTTGTTGGCCGCGTTGACGATGGCGTCAGTTTGGATACCGAACATATCTTTTTGAACAATCTTGAGCATTTTTGCAATAATCGAAAGTTCTGAAA